CACGAGAACATCAATAAAATTAATAGCTTTAAGCAGTTATTCATATTTTATGCCCAAATTCTAGTCATTCGTCTGATTTCTAGAATATGTAACAAAATATAACGTTAGTTGAAGATTAATATTCTTGTTGAAAATAACATTATGTTTATTAATACAGTGTGTGACAAATCAGGATTAATATGATGGGCGCTGGGGTTTACGTATTTTACATTGACTAGCATTGCAAATATGTAAACCCCCGGCCCCGCATAACAACCCTAATTATTTCACACACTGTACACTCGATATAATAAATAAGTAGGTGGTTGAAGGCTAATGGTTTGCATATTTTCGATGTTAGTCAATGTAAAATAATTAAATTTCTGGCCCTGAATCACCTGGTTATGCAATCTGTATATGGCAATATTCTAAACAACTATTGATTAAAATAGTGATTCGTATAATGACATTTTAATTATGCATAGAGTTATAATGAAATAATACTGTTTTAAAAATTTTAATTTAAGAATGTAATTTATATTTAATTAGTACTTGAATAAATATTTTTATTAATTTTTGTAGTGATTCTCTTCAATTTGAAGTTGTTTTGCCAGTCTAGGAATGACCTAGATGATTCCTATTTCAATATAATACAGTAGATTATCTAGAAAGGAGTCATTCTGGACATTGGAAAACCTAAGAATTTTATTTTGTGTGAATGAGTTAATTAGAAACGAGTATTGTTTGCAACAAACTCTATGCAACAACTGTTAATATGTTTCCAATAAAGCATAGATTGTCTAACAATATAGTGGTTTAAAACTATTGGAAAAACTTTTAAACTGTGTTCTAATAGATATACTTTTAAATTGTTATTAATAAAAATATGGAGTTTAAAATATTTATTAAGTAATTTAAAGTAGAGTATAGTTGTATAGAGTATACATTGATCAGAAATTTTTTTTTTAATCCATGAATTTTCGTAAAATTTTTCAAAGTAACGCAGAAATTACAAAAATATTTGTGGCAACGCTAATTATAAGTCATATTTTAAGTAACAGTTTATATACTTTAAATAAAGTGCTGTTTATTTACACTTTATTAATAATTTATTGCAAAATTTGACAAATATTTATAAATGTTAAGTTATGGTAAAATTATTCTTAAAATTTCACATTCTGTGTTTGGTTTTGAGAATTTTTCTTTAAAATTTTATTTACATTTTACAAGTATTTTTACGTCTAATATTAATAAATTTTGTTAAATATTAATATAATTACTGTTAAATTAGTTATTAATAAATAATTGTTTGTTATTATTATATAAATTCCACTAAAAACTGAATTTAAGATTATAATTATTGAATTCACACTAATTTCATGTTAACATAAATGATCTGTTTTGCATATAAAGTAGATAATTATGAATGATACATGCCAAAGTATCATGATAATACAATACTCAATCAAAAAACATGATTAATTTAATGTGCATTTTCTTTGCAAATATTTTTAATTATAATTCAAAAATAAATATAATTTGCAAAAATTTCATGTTAATTATTCATATATTTATAAAATATAATAAATCATAAAAATTTAAAAAGTAAGAATTATAAATACCTTTGATTTATATGGGAATGAGTATCGGAATAATGTCTTGACTGTGATTTTCACTTGAGGTAAACCTAAACATTATTCAGCGTTTTAATGCATACACAGAATATTCAGAATATAAAAGCTAAAATAGCTAAATAAGCTTGGTCAATTTTGTCAATTTGTGCTCGATTACATAAAACTGGTTATAACATGATGCAAATTGTTTGTTGTGATAATATGGGAGCAATTGAATTGTGTTCAATGAAATGCAATGATAGTCTTGAGTGAGACAGACATCACATCACATATAATGCAAACTTTGTTTTTTATCGATTATTTGTCCGCATCTTAAGTGATGTGGAGAACAGTTGCGCACAAACTGTGGAAATATATGTGATTTACTTTCGCTTTTACCCTCACTTTCGATCCACTTTTCATGCATTCATACAATTCCTATACAAACCTGTTATAAATGTGATTCTTATTAATACGAGAGAAATACACTTCACTTTAAATATTAACTCAATTACTGTTGAATAGACCGCTTATGGAGTGCTTTATATTTTATAATAGTTTTTGAAATCAATTTTATATTTCAATAGAAAAACACGTAATAACTTATATTCTGTTGTATTAACAATAAAATAGAGAATGATTTGTGAATAACATAACAAACCATAAAAACAGATTTAAAAGCATTAAAACTATTTATTCAGTACTCGTAACGCATGTTAT